TTTTCTCATTCATCTTATTGGATGGTTGTCTGAGAAATCAGGTTAACCTGTACAGTAGTATGAATAAAGTCAAGAAAGTCTCACTTGGAGATATTTTTATGTACGCTCATAAGTGTAGCATTGAAAAATCAGAGCATGACTTACCTATCATCTCCCTTTGATGACTAATAATCTGTGGTAAAGCAGTCTCCCACTGTTCTTGCGTGTCAATTTGAAAAATTCGTCCTTTAGGCCACTCAGGTAGTTTTGGCCGAAAGTCTTTTGAAGACAGCTGAATTTTGAACTTAACGATTTTTAGCATTGCACATTTCTCCTTGATGCCAAATCCTTTCTGCAAGCGGCTTAAAACTGACGTAAAATCTTTATCTGAAACAGTCCTCATACCGAGTTCAAAACACCATCTTTCTGTGGGCTTTTCATTTCCATTGTGATAAATTGCACCGGTAACCGGTACAATTACCGTTGTGTCTGATACATCCGCAGATTGAGCTTGAATTCCTTCTGTTTCCGTTGCCATTTATTAATAAATGGTTAGCGTTTCTAGACATGGAACACCAAAGAGAAAATTACCATAAAAATGGCGGTCCACCCGACGGAGTCTCTCCCAAGGTTCCCACGCATTCTAAACTCGTCCCCAGTCGTCACCAGTTCACTTGTGAAGATTAGTCGCCAGGCTTAGTCGTCGGAAATGCGTGAAATTACAGAAACGTCGGAAATGTCTTCATAAACAGTTAATGGAAATCTCTCCAAAAGTTAGAAAATGGTCGAAAGTCAATGTTCCCTTGTTCCCGAATATCCCTCAACAGTTCCCTTGTTCCCTAAAAGTTATTTTGAAATATCCCTTGTTCCCTAAAAGTAGATGGCGATGTTCCCTTGTTCCCTAAAACCCCTGGGAGGCCCTCAATGTTGTTGTTACTGGAAGTTTGACCGTGAAAAAGTGCTGAGGCAGCTTGCATATTTCCCAGACATGCAATAACGCTCTGTTTGTATTTGAAGGTACATTTTGAGACTGCAAAGTTCTAATTGATTAGTGTTGTTGCAAAACCTTAAATTGATTAAATTCAAGATTCACGTTTCAAAGTTTTAAGTGTATTTTATGTACATTTCTGTACATCTTGTCTGACTGGCTACAATCTTCAGTGTTGTATTTGAAGCTACAATATTTTATAGTGATTAAATTTAAGCTTTGTGTTTCAAAGTCTCAAGTTTGTTTTATGATTATACAGTGTATGCTCATCTTGCCTGACTAGCTAGAAAATGAAGCCTCCTGTAGCGGTTGGAATTGAGGGGTGATCTGCGAAAGGAAGAAGGGTCAGAAAATACCAGAAAGGGGTGGGGCAACATTTTTCCTCTTCCCCTCCCTTGGTAAATAATTAACTCCTAATTTTGTGGTACGATTAGAACATTCGCCAGCAGGCTCCTATCACCAGTTAACGCATCCCAGATGTTGTGCCTCTTGGCTGGAACTCAAGTTTAAACAAAACAATCTTAATACATAGATTTAGCCAGGGCTAAAAGCGAAGCTCTTTATAATATTTATAGTTTGTTCAATGAAATATATAATCATGTAATGCTAAGCGGCGAAGGACACGCCGGAGAACTGTGAAAAACGATAATAGGTCTAATTAGCAAAAAAGCAACTTTGCACGTGCAGCACACTTTTTTTGTACATTTCTTTGTCGTTGTTTTGCATGACTACATCTTGAAACTTCCAGAAACTTCTTAGTTACACGTTTCTTTCGTTCACTTTTTTATCAGTTCCGCTCATTTTCAACTTGCTTTGGTGGCCACTTGCATTTCTCATTTTGTCACCACCGTTACAAAATTTTCATGTTCTTCCAACAAAAAATGTCTCCTTTGTTTTTTATCTCTCACTCTAAACCTCTGTCACCCTTTTTCTCGTTGAGCTTCGCTGGTCTGCCGCCTACTTTCTCCCTTTCTCTGTGTTTCTCTTGCTCTATATTCCAAATTTGTGGACATGACAATTGATCTAAGCTTAATACTTTAGAAAACACGGATACAGAGACAATTTCCGCTTCCCATTTTCCTCTTCATTGACTCTTTAGTTGTTTCTGCTTTACAAGACGCGGGTGGCTATGCGATTTCCCGTCAAAATAACCTCAAGTTGCATTTGGGTTGCCATACCTGTTGATTGAGTTATTTTACTTTGGTATGCCTGTGGTGCAGACGGACAGTCTATCGGGCGGTGTACAGTCATGTGATTACCAAATTTTCTCGGATGGGTAGTTTACCACATTTTCTTACCCATGGTGCTCCGCTGCGCGGACTTCGCGCGCGAGAGCTCTGCTATAAAACAGTTTGTTAATTATTAATACTTTCCCATATCAAATTAACCCGCCTTCTCTTGATACACCCTGAAATAAAAAAGTAGTCAAGGAAACAATGCATTGCTATTCACATGAAACTTTCACTATTGCAATGACATGTCATTCCTCTTTGATATCAAGCAAAGTAATCTTGTAGTGTTGGCGGATCTAAGTTAAAGCATTGCGACGTCTGATTTGGATATGGGCATGTAAGAGCATTCCTGAGAATTGCACAAATGACATCCATCTTTCCTACACTACTCAAACTAATTTTTAGATTCTTTTTAAAGTCCATAACCTTAAAATAATTGACAATGTCATTAAACAGCCATTCTACGGACTCTCGCACTCTACTGATAGACTGGTTAAAAGCAATTATTGGCGGAGTAAGGGCTCTATTTCGGAATGGTGTCTGTAAGTAAATTCTATGAGGGTATGCCAGATCGCCGTACAAGCAAAATGGATTGCCAGCTGGTGAATTTGCAAAGCCTTGCAGGTCTTGAAGAAGTCCTGAATCAGCTAGCATGCCAGCATCATGTTTACGACCCTCTGAAACAGTAAAAGGAAGTAAAAAATACGTAAGGAACTAGAAAAGCTTCTTGCACAGGTTTGTCACATAAGCCTCTCACTCTTTACGGCTGACACTCTTCCAATATTTCTTGTTAAAAACATAGTGAAATTTAAATTGCCCACTCTCTCTTTGTACAAACACTCCCCGCAAAACTTACCCACAGGACCATATAGGCTACAGATTAAACCATTAGGTAGAGCCACACACTGGACTTTTAGAGCATGAACCCTCTTATGGCTGTTGTAGATCACTCTTTGGTACTCTCCTGGTCTGCATACGGGTCGAACGGTCCCATCAACGAACCCCAAATAATTATGTAAAGTAGCTCCTTTGTCAGCAATAGTGTTACTGTAAATCTGTAATACAGCCGGATTAAGCACATTGTGGTTCTACTGTTTTATGCGATGTCTGTGAGTGTTACATGCAAAATCCAGGACATCACTACTGAGCATACTAAGAACTGGTACTGGCAGTCCGAATTGAGAAATCATGTCACTATATCGGCGTGGATAACTTAATCTTCTAAGAAGAATGCAGAGACCTTCCATTCCATCAAAAACACTTCTTTGACAACATCTGAAGCTATCAGGTATTTGAAGAACCTCTGAGACAATTTGCAAGTTGTGCGTTCTAAATCTAAACTCTGCCAAGCACTCGGCATCATTCATCTCATCAAGGGAACACCTGTCGTATTCCTCGTACAAGAAATTGGCATTTTTCGGCATAAATTGCTCGTGTAGTAGCAAAAACTCATCTTCATCTAGAATACCATCCTCATAACTCAAAAGAAGTTGCTCTTAGACCTCGTGAAAAGAATACACGATAAAATTATTGGACTGTTTCTCGATTTTCACGATAAATGAGCACTGTTTTGTTTACATGTCCTTGTCCACGTTCAAGTGCGCGCTTAACATTTTAGTTTTCCTGCCGCGAACGTCGTCCTCAGCCTAGTCCCTCAGCAACTCTACTCATCGTCGTTGTCCAATTAAGGTCCCTAATTTGATAACTCTGATAGCTAATTTTACTTTTAGAACGAAAAAGAGAACACTCATGAGGTGAGTGAGTTATTCCATCCAACCTCTTGTATTTTTTTAAAGTTGTTTATTGGTTGACGTGCTGAATATCAGAAAATGGTATCCCTGTGGATAATATATACAAAGGCTTAAAGTTTAATAACTATGGTGTGGTAGATGTCTGCCGAACGGTGGAACGGATAGTTTTGGTAAAGGTTTCACTACTATTTAACTAGAGTACAATACATTGATGCATCATTTCTTTTTACTTGTTGTGGCACCCCAAACAGACAGGGTGAAGTGCCGTGAGTAAACATTTGTTGCACCAAGAATTAATGAATTACAAATGACCATTTTCACATTAGTTCATACTCCCAAACACAAATTAATTACAGATAGTACTGCAGCATAGAAAATGCACCTCTGTTGACTAAGCCGAGTTCACAAGTGTAGATACTGAAAAAAACTGCAAACAAGCAAACAAAAACAAATAAAATACAAAAGGATCACTCTTACTTGTCTTTTTATTACTTTTCGAAGGAAAAAGGGGAGACTTGTGAGATAAGTCACTATTTTTGAGGCAATTTTGAAGAATTTCCATTAATCACAATGAGACAATAATTATTACATAGAACTATCAAATTCAGTTTATGACTGTGATCAGACCACAGTCGATATATATCTTGACCAGAAGTTGATTCCTTCAGTGAAAAGTTAGTATCTATCAGTAACTGTGGGAATAAAACAGAATATGTGAGCTTGTTGTCTGCTGTCTATCTATTAACTATTGTCAAACGAAAATTCTTTGGATTTGCAACCCAAAATGGAAAAAATTCAACTGTGTGGTTATCTTGAAAGCGAAGCTTTAGGACCTCGAAATGAATGAAAAAATGTTATACATTATAGTAATAATTTTAACTTTCTATTTAGTTCCAGCAAGAAGAACATGATGACACTAGAACTATGGAGGTAAGACAATATCCTGCATAAAATATACAAAGGTTAAAAAATTCAAATCATTTTCAATCACAGGCTTAAAATCAATCATTTTGGAATTGGTGCAGAAAAACGCTCCCTCTTAAGGAATCCAATAATAATAAGCTAGCAGCTGGGACTGACAAAGCTACAATAGTGCATGTGTGATTCCCAGATGCAGGGTTTTGAACCCAGCACTTTTGTTTTGTAAGAAATAAACGTGACCATATTAACATTGTTTGATCCCCCTGAGCCTGTTCCAGGTGTTTAGATAGTGGGGAGAGTGGGCGAAATTGGGCGCGGATGAAAAATTGACGAGGGAAAAAGATACCCCAGTCTACCCTTGTTTTTGTTTCCCCTTGTGTTTCTTTTGTGCTCGTCACTTACAATTTAATTTGCTCCCCACTATCTAAACGCCTGGAACAGGTGAGATCCCCCTTGAAAGCATAGGTTGTGTTAATATTGGCCATTTCATTACTGTCTTAATGTATACGCATTGAAACAGTAACAAATTTTCACTTAATGCTGCAATAATAATAATACTTGTCTCTGTGATTTTCCCTAATAAAACAAGTTCAACCTTTACTCTGTTAATTAATTACGGATTATGAATTAATTGTGCAACCTTTTCCTTCTTCTTCCTACTCTCCAAGTATTTTTCTTACCATTTTTTTTTCTTTGAACCCACTGACCAGTGGTAGTTGGGCCTGTGATGTTGAGGTGGTTGCTTTCATGATGAGTGTAGAGTTCTTAAAGAGGTGTACAAGCCTCACCTCTGTTGATCGGGAGAAGAAGCGTGGGTAAAACTGTAGTTATAAAAAAATAATGTAAATAAAATGGATTTCTTTCTTTCTTTTATTTTTTTTCGGTGGAAGAAGATATGAGTAAAGAGGCAAGTAAAATATTTGTAGATTCATTTTTAAAACTAGGGACTCAATTTTTCATTTAAGAATAGAATGAGCACGGAAAGCTGTATTTCAAATGAAAGTGCGGACTAATAATAATATTTAGAAGAATTAAGGTAATTTTTTCAATGAGCTTGCCCATAGGACTATCCGCTCTCTTACGAAAATGTTTTGTGGGTAGGAACTCTCAGAAAACTGCACGAATATTAGAATATTAAACTTTTTTTCCTTTGCAGCGGGCTATTAGAGAGGCAAGGAGCAAAATAGTGATAAAAGAAGACAGAAATGGTTGGCATGTAATTGTAAAAATGCCAAATGGTGAGCGCATTAGCCGCTTCGTCAAGAAGAGATCATGTTACCAGGTACAAGCTCTTTCTAATTTCAAGTGTACATATGTATCTCTGGGAATATTCTAACTTTTAAATACAGAAAATACAGGTACCGTTACATGTTACTGCCTCCTGGAAATTCAATCCACCAAGTATGTTGTATGACCATCATTTCAACTTAAAAGAGATGGATCAAGACAATCATGAAAAGTAAAACTAATATATAGATTTAGCCAAGGCTAAAAGTGAAGCTCTGGTTAATAGAACTTATAAACAAAAGAATTAAATCGTGTGATGTTAAACGGAGACGACAATGAAAATGGCTTCAAGACTAACAGATCTAATTAGTCTAATTACTAACAAATTGCCTAGTCTAATTACTAACAAATTGCACGTGCAGCACACTTTTTCTTCTCATTAGCAAAAAGGCAAATTTGCACGTGCAGCACACTTTTTTGTCTTTCTCTTGCCGCTGTTTTGTACGACTAAAATGTCAAACTTACTAGTTACACATTATTTCTATGGAGGAATTGTCGTATGTGTTTACCCAATATTTTGTTTCCCGTGTTTATGTTCAGTTTTACTTTCCATCGCCGCTCATTTTCACCTTGCTGGCCGCTAGCATTTCTCATTTTCTCACGGCAGCTATGTTTTTCTCCCAACGAAATTTGTCTCCTTTGCTTTTAATAACTCGCTCTAGCTCTTGCTCTGTTATCCACGTTAGTGTAAACATAAAAAATAACGCCGAAACAGACACGTCTGGGCAGCCATGTTAAAACTTTGAGTTCAGGAGGGAGAGGGCGAAGGAGGGGATTGGTGGTTCAGTCCTCATGCCAGTATAATGTCATGTCTCGTGTTAGAGACTTTTCAAAATGGGGAGCAAAGTCGTTGTTGATGAGGAGGATAAAATAATAGAATTCCTTACGCTTATCTTGTTTCATTTTCTTAGATTTGGCGATGTTAAGATTCCCATTGAAAGAAAAAACCAGTATATTGTACTTATTTTGGATGAAACCTTCAGAGGTGTAATGATTTTTTAAGATTCCTTTCAATCGTCGAGCATGAATGTCGAGCAGTCATATCTACTGGTCACAGTTTCGAGGGCCAGTGCACAGCAATGTTATGGTGTCTCGACTCAGTAATAGGAGGTTAATTTAATCTAAGGACATACCAGGCTTTGAGTACGTGTAATCTAAGGTCTTCATTGTTGATGGTTCATCATATCAATCCCTTCAAACGTTGATTAGTGGCAGGGTGGAAAAGAGGTGAGTGTTAATATCTTTTGTTTCAATGTATTTCCCTGTGTAGGGAATACTCCTGTAATTTTCTAACTCATTCCCGAAGGAAAACAGTTTTGTTAAATTATTATTTTTGTGTAAAGCACGTCTGGCTGTGTGCAGCTTTGTGCATATTATTGTTGCAGTTAGGTACCAATAACAGCGATTTCCAAGTGATGATAACGGGACACATTCTGTTTTTAAAGCTGAACAGACCACTTGCAACTTCTATACCACGACCAAAAATTTCCAAATCGAAGGTTACAAGTATGCTTCCTTCAATGAATGAGAAACAAAATGGTGGCAAAGCTTCCCATCTTGACAGTACCGCTACAAACTACGACCTACCACCAGTAACACCAGAAACACAGTCTCCAGTGATTGACCTACTTGATCATTCATCAATTGAATGCTCTTATGCCAGTCACTTCAATGCACAAATAGCTGCTATCTAAAACTCATCACCAGCAGTGGTTGATTTGACAGATACCATTAGCAAATTAGAAAAGGAAAATGGCCTGCTGAGACATGAACTGACTTTGCAGAAAGAACGTTGACATAAGTTAATCGAAGGAAGAGACTCTCAAAACTGGTAGTTCAAATTCTCTCAAGGGATTTGTATCAATTCAATTTCATTGGCTTTTCTGCATATTCAAGAACAAACATCTAACAGTAATCCAGTGCCTCAAAAGCTCCAACAAGATGTCGGTATCTCAGGAACACCAATTAACAATAATCTGAACAAGGGAAAGAAACAAAGAATTGATCCCAACGGCACTAATTCACCTTAACCTTTACTGTCTGATAGTTCCAACAACATCCCCAATACTACTACTATAATCCTCGGAGATTCCATAATACATCATCTGCAGGGGTATAAATTGCGCAACAAAACTGGCAACTGGGTGGTAGTTAATTCCTTTCAGGGAACAACTACACATGACATAAGTCATACGTTCAACCGACGATTGATAACTCACCGAAAAGATTGTGTGCATGTTGGCACCAATGATTTAAAATCCAAGAAACCGAGTGAAGTCTCTCATGCGATAGTTGACTTGTCAAGAAAAATTGAATCCTCCTGTGATGCTGAAGTCACTCTATTCGAATTAACGCCGCATAGAGACACTTCTAAGGATGCAGCAAGGGAGGTCAACAAGTGTTTAATCATTATTGGAAGCACAGTCAGTGGAAAATTACACGCATACTAACATTTCTGAGAAAGTGCATAACAAAGGCAGCCTACACTTTAAACAAGGTAATGAAGTCTTGAACAATGTTGTGTCCATTTGCACACAGCCTCACATGTTGGGTCCGTTTGCAACACCTGTGGAATGTTGTTGCACAAAGTTTGAAACCCGTCAACTGTTTCAGGCAACAATTTTCAACATTTCTTTTGTTCCGAGATCGCCGAAGCATAGCGCATCAATGTTGGATCCGTTTGAACAGCTCTTAGTAAGGAAGCACTGTCACACAGGGCGCTCACTTTTCATTTTCCCTAAACATTTTGAGTAGAAGCAGGCAACACAGCTTAAAATCTTCATCTTGCCATCCTGATTAAGAATTGTGCTGTTGCCCACTCCAAATGTTATGATATCTGTCATTAAGCGGGTTTTTTGTCTAGGCCCTCGCTCCTGCAGCATGAAAACGAGGCTGAACCTTAACATTTATATAAACCCAATACAACGTGCACAATACGATAGGGAAATAGCTGAATCTTTGCTACTTGACTTTTAGAGCTCGATAGACAATAGTGTGGGAGATAAAATGCGTCACGTGATCAGTTATGAAGAGTCACGTGACTTTCCAATAAAATCGATTTTAAAGCATAAAAGACGCTCTATTCACACTTTCCTTTAATATAGTTTACAACTTACTGACGTTTCTCATTTTGATTTACACATCCAACAATAAACACACAAAAATGCAATAGGTGATCAGTTATGATGGGTCACGTGACTAGATAACAACCATTGAATAGATACTAAATTAGCCTTAGCTGTGTGAATAGCGTGATTGATTAATTGTTTCAATAAGCTCTTCAGGAATTATTTTCTATAAGAAATAAAAAAAACTGTTTCATGGGGTAAATATGTGCTTCAATCTGTCGGAAACATTGGCCACTGAGTTTACGACTGGGTACGACGATGATGCATTAGTAGATGCCCCGACTAGCAGTGAGCTTGTTAATGAAGTTGGACAAGCTTCACATATCATCAAAGCTTTTGATGCCGCACATCATAACAACCCCTCGTTCTGTTACTGGAGACAATAGATGAAACTGGTGTCCATCTTACTGAGGTTTACGCGTGCGATCCGGGAAGGGAAGTGGGATTTGTATCTCTCTAAGTTCTCCGAAATGCTACCCTACTTTGCGGCTTTCGACCACTCGAATTACACCAGATGGGGTGTCATATTTCTTGCAGACATGAAGATGCTTCCGCAGACTGCCCCTGAGGTCCAGCAGGCATTTGAGAGTGGCCACTTTGTCACAAAGGAGACAGCCAGCACCTTCAATCAAATTCCCGACGACCAAGCACTGGAGCATGTAAACAAATCTGAAAAGGGAGCTGGAGGCCTTGTTGGAATTACAAGGACAGACTCGGCTCGAGATCGCTGGTGTCTTACCTACAATGAGTGCGCCAAGCTGTCAGAAGACACCAAAGAGATGTTTGACGTCTTAGAAAATGAATGCACTAGCGCCAAAGATCCGGGAAAAGCCAGAATGCAACAAGATGCAGAGGACGTAGCTAAGCTGGAGGCGCAGTTTACGAAATACAAGGTCTTCCGATGTACCTCTGACTTAGTTGTAGTTACCACTGGAGATGTGGCAAGTAACGCCATTAAACAAGATCTACTTGGCGTTGAGGAAACTGGTAAGAAAGTCATCAAAGATTTCGTTGAAACCAGACTAATCAAGAAAGAAATAAAGTTCCATGACACTCAAAAGCATCAGAAGGTGAAAACCTTTGAGACACTTTACACTGTACCAGTGTCAGTTGATAAGAGCAAGACCATCGCCAGGAAAGCAGACAAAGATCTCTTGAGAAGGGTGATAGTAGCCTTGGAATCCGGTCGTGATGTAGATGTGAATACGTTGCTTCAAAGCGAACTTGCTCCAGTCCCAAAGTCACTTGCTATCCTAGAGGAAAGTCTACGAGAAGCAGGGAAGTCGGATCTTGGTACCATTTTACAAGGAAATGTCTGTAAGAGCCAAATGCCCATCAGCAGGAGTCAAACATGCACTACTATTGATGGAATGGCAGCTGTTCAGTCCCTCGCCAACTCTTCAGGAGCAAAGACCTTTGGGGAGTGGAGTGACCGATTTCTTCGTCATGTCACTTCCCATTTTTCGGAGAGTTTTACAAGGGTTGATGTGCTATTTGACAGATATGTCAAGAACTCGATAAAAGGAGGAACCAGAGACAAGAGCAAGGAGAAAAAGGGCACAAGGATTAGGCGCAATGTGGATAACAGAGATCAGAGAATTGGAAACTGGGAAAGGTTCATCATTCTAGAAGATAACAAGGCTAGCCTAGTTCATTTCCTCTCGACTGAAATCTCGGAGAGTTAGAGCGCGCCTCCTGGGCGAGAGCTGGTGATCAGTGGAGGCTTCAAGGATACACTGAAGGTTTGGTCATCTGACACATCACGATAAGATATAAGAGAGCTCGCATCAGACCATGAGGAGGCAGATACTAGAATAGTACTGCATGCCTGAGATGCAGCAGCAAGAGGGTACAAGCAAGCCAACATTTTGTGTCGTGATACGGACGTTCTTGTCCTCCTTTTGGCACACTGAGAGCAGCTTTGTCAAGAGATATGGATGTTTGTGGGTACATCAAGACAAAGGCGTTACATACCAGTTCACAGAATCACGCTCTCCGAGGAGAAGAGGAAGTCGCTTTTGGCATTTCATGCCATTACTAGCTGTGATACGACAAGCCAGTTCTATGGTGTGGGTAAGGCATCGGCATGGAAAGTCTTCAAAAATGCACCTGACCTCTTAAAAACACCTTGAGGAAGAAAGCCAAATCAGTGCTGACGTTCTTGTCAAAGCTGAAGCCTTTGTATGCAAACTCTACAATCCGGGAACACAAGAGGTGGAAATCAACAAAGAAAGAGCAGAAGTGTTTCGCAAATCCAAGAAAGATCTCGACGCCCCACCTCCGACTCAAGATGCACTGATTCTCCACATAAAGCGGGCAAACTATCAGAATAGGAATAAGGCGCTGGAACCATGTCCTTCTTTCCCAAGGCCTGAAGACAGCGGATGGTACTACAGTGAAGGCCTTCTGAACCCAAAGTTAATGACGCGAGAAGAAGTGTCAGCGGCATGTTTACAGTTAGAATACTGTGGGTGCTCCCAAGAAGGCAGATGCTGTGTAAACCGACACTGCATTTGCCTTCAACTATCTCTTTGCTGTTCCAAGGCATGTAAATGTGGGGTCAGGTGCAGAAACGACAGGAACACTGCAGCTGAGGCGAATGAAGCATGACCTATAACTTTGATAAGGTGGAAGTCACATGGTGGTCTTGTGTAATATAAGATACTTTGCTTATGGTTTATAAGCTTGTATTTCTGGCTTAAACCGTGCGGCCAAGTAGAAGAAAGTTCAGTCTTTTTACATGAAAAATCCTAACTCATGGGAAATGTTACATAGGTTGGAAACGCTATAGAATGACTGAAAATAGAATGATTTCATTACATCACGTGACCCATCATAGCTGATCACCTATTGCATTTTTGTGTTTTTAGTGTTGGATGTGTAAATCGAAATGAGAAACGTCAGTAAGTTGTAAACTATAATAAAGGAAAGTGTGAATACAGCGTCTTTTATGCTTTAAAATCGATTTTATTGGAAAGTCACGTGACGCATTTTATCTCCCACACTATTGTCTATCGAGCTCTAAACGTCAAGCAGCAAAGATTCAGCTATTTCCCCATCGTATTGTGCACTTTTTATTGGGTTTATATAAATGTTACAGTTAAGCCTCGTTTTCATGCTGCAGGAGCGAGGGCCTAGACAAAAAAACTGCTTCATAACAGATATCATAACATTTGGAGTGGGCAACAGCACAATTCTTAATCAGGATGGGAAGAGGAAGATTTTAAGCTATGTTGCCTGTTTCTACTCAAAATTTTTAGCGAAAATCGTTTTTTGGCGAGCTGCCTCCTGACTATCTTCCAACATTGTTAATGCCATGCACTCTCATTACGTGAAGTTTACAAAGACTTATGGGTTGTATCCTTCCCACAATGCACTGCAGGTCCGAACATTGTCGGGAGTTGTTGCATCCGTTTACACACCACTGCCAACACGCACACAGCAACTGCCAACATTGTTGGCGCAACAATGTTGAGTGTTGTTACGTCTGTTTGCATGCAGCCTTAGGCTATTTTATCTGAAGAGTGATACACCAACATGTAGTACGAAACTATATAGTAATAAAATGCCTAGTCAAATCTTCAGTTGATAAAACATTGTACTTATTCTCGCTCTAGTCCTTCTCTTAAGCACTCTGACAGCAGTTCTGCATCAACTGAAATCAAGTAATATATAATATTATATAATACCTGAAATTCTTTTGTCCTTCTTTTTAGGATTATGATATCAACAAGAGTGGATTGCTGTGGCCTATGATATCAGGAAATTTTATGTAGGCCAGATCGAAACGATCAATGGCAGTAAAGATGTGTCTGTTAACTTTTTGGCAAAAACCAAGGCAGCAAACTATTTTTTATTGGCCAGGGGTAAGTGACCGTGACAACGTGGAGGCCAGCGAAATTTTTTTTCGTCAAGTTAAAGTGGTGAAAGAGAGCAGAAGGAAATGTAAAGTAGAAAATTTGCAGGAAATTTCAACTGCATATGATAAGTTTTCCCAAAAATATTTAACATAAACATTTCACATAAACAGGTTTTTATTGGTAGTTTTGATTCCGTTATGCCCGACTGTGATCAGAAAACAGCTCTCTGCCTTTCTCAAAAAACATTTCAGACTACTGTATGTGCTTATCAGTAGTTTTTTGTGTCAGGTGTTCCACGCATTTCTGATAAAGACTGGAGCGTACATTTTAACTTCCTGCATATGATCGATTCATGCTTCGTTTTCCAACTAACTCAAACAAAAACTCGTTTCATTTCTTGCGCAAAAGAGAGTGGCTGTGGAGTTGTTTGATTTTAACATGATTTGACTCTTTACTGCAATAAAGGAATCAAAACTGTGAAAAACATAAACCTGTAATGTGCTGGTGACAGTTTGGATGATGGCTGTTGTTCAAAGTTTCAAAGTTATCCTTTGACCTGGACCACTTTTTAAATGACCCAATTTAAAATGCCATATGGGACGTATGATCCCCTTCGAATAATTTCTAGATTGAACACTGCTTATTTGGTGGATATTGCTATCCATCGTTTGAACAACTGGGGCCTGGTGCTTACGTTGTGATCTTTAAACTACGGTTATGGTAAATGAAGATGGATAGGGGTATTACTTGTGGAAATACAAATTTAAATGAAAATATAATTGACGCAGTGGTAATTGCAATGTAAGCAGTTAACAATTAACCCCCCCAAAATTTTGGGACTTCAATGAGATGAGAACTCATGGCCTCAGCATTTGCGCTGCAATGGTCTTTTGCATTTGAGCAATGAAGACCCATACAATGGGGCCAGGTTAATTTGTAAATTCATCTAAGCCCTGAAATGAATGCCGAAACATGAAGACCACGTGAACTGTTGATATGATCTTCGCAGTGGTGATTGCAAGTTAAGTCGGCAGTTAAAAATAAACGTGAAAAACAAGGCAAAAAAGTGGTATAACTGGATATGACAATAGACATAAAAAATTGCAACAGTTACAATGAGTAAAACAACAGTTTAGATCGTGTGGGATTCTTTGGGAATATATCATTACCTTTTCTGTATAGCTCTGACTGTGATTTCCTCGCGCCTATAATACTGTTCAATATAATGGGTGTTTCACTCTTAATGCTTAACTTCGTCGTTTTAGAGGCTTATTCAGAGCCACACGTTTAGCAAGAGCAACATCATGGAAGGAACTGCCATGTAACGTGGTAAACGACTCAGCTTGTACGATTGTGTTTCAGTTGCATGCAGCGGCGTGGGGTTACTAAGCACGAAAGAAGAGTCGATCCCTTCTTGATTACTTAGAAATCCTCTCAAGTAGAAACTATACGTCTGTATACCCACAGCTGTTAACCACTTGTTGTCTAACAATAAAAAGTGCAGAGTAAGAAGTCCTGTCAACAAGTCTATTATAAAACATTTAAAGTTCTCTTAAACGGTCTGAGTTAACTTTCTTTCAGTATGGAAACGTAAATTCATTTAAAACTATGGGGTAAACAAAAAATAGATGCCTTAAAACTCACACGAACGATTTGGAGCTTACGATTGTTCCAAAAGCGGATAATAAATAAGTAATTGCCCAATTAGAGCACGCATTTTCCTTTTGTTATGTTGTTAAGTACAATCCGCTTTACAGAGCAGGAATAGCAATAAAGGCCAAGAGTAAAATTCCTCCACAGATCACTTTTTAATTATCTCAGAAAGGTCTTTGAAATACGCCTCGTATCTCATTATTCTGCGTTACTGATACTTTAAAGAGGGAGGTGGGTTAGCCTCTGCTAAGATTGGATTGGGATGGGTGTGCAGCATAACCCTGCATGCTTTGTTTGTTTTGGATCCGTCACTGTTAACTACTACATGTAATAAGCTTAAAAACATGACTAATCTACAGAGGTTTGGCTCTTCTGGTCTTTCTGTATTGTCTATCGAGATCGATATGTACTCTTATGTCTACAGCTTCCTGGATATATAGGTTCTATAAAACGCTGAAAAGAAAAGGATATGGTTAATTTCGTTAATTTAAATATTGATTACAATTTTATATCTCCGGGGGGGAGGAGTACTCCCCTATATAAACCATGTGGGTATGTTCCGGCCCATTGAGAAGGGTTTTTGCGCTGTTTTGGTCTGTAAACAGGTATACACAATGCCCATTTTGGTCTAGAATTGGGTATAGTTTTCGAGGGAATTAGGAGAGCAAAAAATATTTATCGTTTCATCCAAATTAATAAGAACGAATTAGAAATATGCAAATTAGAAGTTTCTTGGTGTAGAATTTGACCTAAGCCAGGTGATCACCAACCAGCACGGTGACTGCTGGATACTCTTTTAACCCTCAACGGACGGTAGAAAATCTGATAGGCTACAAATCAATAGGGCGGTCAGCAAACATTCAACGCACAAAGGAGAGTCAATCTATTAAGTCTATTTAGTAAATTGGGCATTGAATTTATAGCCTTTTATCAGCGTGCGTTCACTGGGCCAGGTGAGCATCAGTTTCCCCTCAGTCGTAAGAAGATAAAACCTGATAACCATTCCTTTCCTGGGTGCTCAAACAGAATTGATTGTTTTAAGAGACTGTTTTTCTGTAAAATTTGTTAAAACCCTGAAGTTATTTAAACTTCAGTGATGTAGTTATTATTTATTCGACAAACTGAAAACTTGTTCCTATTTAAGCCTCTGTCTCGTTGTATTGTAGGTTCAC